GATCTCCAGTGTTTGTTCACCTGAACGAAACCCTCAATGGAACTGACTCCGTGAGGGCGTACGGCGTGGAGGATCGATTTATCAGCAAGATGGAGGACAAACTAGAGAACCTGATGAAGTTTGAAATGTCAGAGCACTGGTTCCATGCCTGGTTCCGCATGCGCATGACCGTTCTGTGTTCTGCAGTCACCCTCATTTCTGGTCTGCTGTTGTTATGGGATACCAGCATTAGTCCCGGTAGGGCCGGCGTGGTGTTGATGTATGCCACCAATTTCATGCACTGCCTTGGCTGGGTCATGCATCATTCCTGCCACACGGAGACAGAACTCATCTCTTTAGAGCGCGTAGTCGATTACTCTAACAAACCAACGGAAGCGTCGTGGAAGACAGAGGAGGAGAACAAAGCTGAACTTTCTCTCTCCACCCAGTGGCCAGAGAGCGGAGATCTTGTTTTGGACAACTACCAAACTAGGTACAGGGAGGGTCTGGATTTGGTGCTGAAAGGTGTGACGTGTCACATCAAAAGTGGGGAAAAGGTCGGTATCGTGGGACGCACGGGTGCCGGGAAGTCCTCGCTCACAGTCTCTGTATTCCGCCTTGTGGAAGCAGCTGCAGGAAAGATAACTCTGGACGGCCAACACATCGCCCCTGTCGGGCTGCACGACCTGAGAAGCAAACTTTCCATTCTCCCTCAAGATCCAGTGATTTTTGGAGGCTCTCTCAGAATGAATCTCGACCCGTTCGGAGAGAAGACATCTGAGGAGCTGTGGGAAGCTTTGAAGCATTCCCACCTGAAGACATTTGTAGAAGGCCTGCCAGATCAGCTGGACCATGAGTGCGGGGAGGGCGGAAAGAATCTCAGTATGGGTCAGCGCCAGTTAGTGTGTCTGGCCCGTACGTTGTTGAGGCAGAGTCCAGTCCTGGTGTTGGACGAAGCCACAGCCGGGGTGGATATGGAGACGGATGAGCTCATCCAGAATACTATCAGGTCCGAGTTCCGCTCATGCACTGTGCTGACCATTGCCCACAGACTCAACACGGTCATGGACTATGACCGCATCATGGTGCTGGATCAGGGCAAGATCAAAGAGTTTGACGCGCCGCAAAAACTTTTGGCAGACCAAACGTCGGCTTTCTACAGCATGGCTAAAGACGCCAATCTAGTCTAGTTCATTATCATTTTATTACCAGTCAATCCGTCCACACACAGAAGCGAGAACTGACTTTGACTACTATTGTTTGTGTGGACATTTTTATATTGTCCACAGTAGTTCATACTTCTGTACTATTATTGATTATTAGCGTTGGTATTAAAAACTGTTAATCAGTCTTTCTTGAAAACCTTGATTTGTTGTAACATACGTTCAACATTTACGTGCTTTGTGAATTTGTACAATCTTTGTTTGTGTTCATGAAATAGACATTTAGCATTATTTATATTTAGTTTTTGAATTGCCAGTTTATTCATCGCAACTAATCGAGTACCAGTATAATTTTATTGTTGTGGGTCATCAGAAGTGTCGATGTCCTGATAAAATTCATTTATTTTGTTTGTGCAAAAGAACTAGTCAAGCTCAAAACATGAGCATCAACAGTATTTACATTGGTAGCCATTTGTATGTTTTTTGGAGAGAATGAGAATGTATTTATATGAGTGTGTGTTTCTGTGTGTTTGGGTGGGAAAGAGGGGGGGGGCGAGAGAGCAAGAGAAAGACAGGGTTAAAGAAGAGACTTAAGAGAAAATGAAAAAGAACAAAAGTAGATGTGTTTCGACAGAAGCAACAAATGGTATTGGAAACAGATTTGCCAACTTTTGAAATAAAACACGTAAAACTACAACAGTGTTATCGTTTATTGAGTCTTATACATACTTTTCAACTGTTGTTCTTCTTTGTGAACTGTAATAACTTGTTTAATCAACACTTCGAAAGGGGGCTCTCGTGGCCTAGAGGATAAGGTGTTGGCCTCTCATTCAAAGGTCCCTGGTTCGAATCCGGGTAGCGACCGAAAAATTTTCTTCTCTAAAATTGTCTCCTTTCACCTCCTTTCCTGCTCTCTAGCAATGTTCTGTTGTCTACTTTCATTTCCACTTTCGAATCCACTCTTTCCTAAATATTATCGCCACGTCTTCTAGTCTATGAGGGCACCGAGTGATCAGGCAATGGGATGTCCTACTCTGTGTCTATCTGGGCGTTGAAGTTCCAACAAAATTTAAAGAACATATAAAAGCAACGCTTGCACTCCCGCCCCCATCCCGCTAAAACCCATCCCCACATCCGCCTCCATATATATATATATATATATATATATATATATATATTATAGCATTTGTATATGGTAAATTCCTATTCCACGGCAAGCTCTATGAGCTTTACAATCTATCTCATTACGCTAGCCGTCCATACAGCATTCTGAAACGATCTCGATTTCTTGGGAAGCTGACTGTAGTATAATGGCATGAAAAGAAGCCCCACAGTTGTCACCAGTTTTATATACCGTCCACACCATCGACTAGGTAAACACAAATTATTTTGATTTTAATAGACAGCACCGTAATCCAATTTGCTGATGATTCATTTATCTAAGGGATCGTCCTTTTAAAAAAGGGCACTTTAAGGAAGGGAATTCATTTGACCTGAAAGTAACAGTTATTACGTTTGGACAGAGTTATACAGAAAGCAGCAAAAGTTCACTCTTCCCCTTCACGGAGCTTTTGTAATATTGTGAAAGCCGCATAGTAGTTCGTTGCCGAAACCAAACGCCTATTATGATTATCTGGAACATTAGACATCTTTTATAAGTAAACACTTTACTTTTTTTTTTTTTAAACAAATGAACAGGCTCGTGTACAAAATTGTTTGTCCTTGTCAGGTGTGCGCGAATAAAATCATTTGCATGTCTATCCAATGACTATTCGTATGTGTGTGTGTGCGTGTGTGTGTGTGTGTGTGTGTTTGTGTGTGTGTGTGTGTGTGTG